TTCGTTCGTGAGTGTCGACAGGGAGGAGGACGAGTTTAGCTTTCATGGCGATCCGATCAGATCCGAGGAAGATTCCTCCCATGGCGGAGACTCGTGCTCTTCTTCGGCGGGAAGTGTTGTGCTGCTTCTGCCGAAGGAGAACGTCGTGGTGGAGGCGAGCGAGGACGAGGCGTCGCCGGATGTGATTCCTATTACGGTGGACAACATCCCTGTCTATTTGTCGCGGTCGGCTGACGGGACGCCGCTTTTCATCAGGTGTCAGCCGCCCACCATGGAGGAGCTGCTGCTCACCAGCCCCGACGAGGCAACCCCGAGCTTCGACGGGTTCTCCGAGGCCAGCGGCAAAACTTTTGAGGGTTTCTCCGAGTCCAGTGGCAGGACTTTCGATGGGTTCTCTGAGGCTAGTGGAAGCACTTTCGAGGGGTTCTCAGAGGCCAGTAGATGCAGCAGTGCAGGCAGTGCTTCCTTTGAAGGTTTTACTGATGAGGTTGTTTGCTTAAGGGATGAAGATAGGGCCAGTACACCTATTCATTCCAAAGCTGTCACAAGAACAGAACATTCAGATGGAGCATCATTCCCTTCATTGCTGGGGAGTAGGAAGAGGAACCACAGCCAGATGAGGCACTCGGGTGGTCTTGAGTTGGACCCTCCTTCAAAAGATGAAGTAGTGGTTCTGGAAAATAAGAGCACAGGAGTAAGGACAAGAAAGCGATCTCGAGGTCATTCAAAGGAGGAGCAGAAGGAAGAGAGCAGTGCAGTTGTATCAGTAGAAAAGGAGGTTGAGAACAGATCTTTTAATTCTCCTTTGCAAAAGGATGTGGAAGTGGTGCATGAAGAAACAGACCAAGATGTAACCAAACAGAACAGAGTTGATTCAACTCCAGATTCACCTCAAAAACGCAAAAGAGGAAGACCAAGGTTAAGTAGGAATGAGCAAATTGAAGCTGGCACTGGAGGCAGTGTGGAAGTTCTGTCTGATGACTTTATTGGCAAGTATTGCAGTCGTGTTGGTTGTACCATCAGTTGGCTAGAGAGTTTGTGCACAATGTGTATAACACCAATAAATGGAATGGTATATGAGCTAAGTGAATTTGCCAATAAGATTGCTTGGGAACAAGATTATGTTGCTGTATGGCTCTTAAGACTGTGTGGATGTACTGGTGCTATACCATCAGTAGAAGATCATTCAAAAGTACGTTTTATATTAAAGCGAAGAAAGGCACTTATGGTTACATTAGCAGGACAGAAATTTGGAAGTGCAAAACTTCAGGAATTTGATGAAACTGAATTTATTTTGCCGACAGTCAGTGATGTCAAGTTGGAAAATGTCAATGACGTGAAATTGGAAAATGTCAGTGATGAACAGTCGGATGAAAATTTGGTTAGTGACGTTAGAAGATCCAAGAGGCAAAGAGTTGCAAAACCACTTGAAGAGGTTGAGGAAATAGGTGATTGTTTAGGAGCTGATGTTATTTGCAAGGAAGAAATTATATTTCCCACAAAGCTTGAGACCATGGAAGTAAAGGAGGAAGAAGATGACAAATCATTAGTTGATTCAAGGGTTAATACTTTTCAGACACCAGGTAAGGAGTCTGTAGTTGATTCAGCCCCAAATGCATGCCAAACACCTTCAAGGACTGATGATGCAGTAGGTACGGACACTAGTGCGAGTCATGTAGACATACCAGAAGCGGGTGAGAAGAAGGACACTGGCAGCAGCAAATTCAGAGGAACACTTGGGGTTAGTAAGAGTGGCCGAGTGCGAAAACCAAGTGCCAAGGGAAGCGTTTCTATAGAGTTTAAGTACTTGTTTATGGAAAAACAAAGCCCATTTCCAGAATCCTCCACCCCTGGTGGTGCACCACAGAAAGAAGAGGATAATGATTTACAGAAATCTAATTACAATAAAAGTAAATTTGCCCATCCAAATGAAAATGAAACTCAGAAAGAACGAGCAAAAAGATGTTTCATAGGCCCGAGACATTTGAATAAATATATTGATATGGAAAACAAGCTGGTGTCATTTACCTTAGAGGATGGCCGTGTGATTCCCTATTTCAAAGAATTGGATTATAATCTAGGTCCACGCTGCTGTGCAGTAGGGCTCACAGTTGGCGATCTCAACACAAAGGACAGGCTTGATATTAAGGTCAGCAATGGGATTATCAAAGAGCTGTTTGATTTCTATGTTTCTCGTGGATCAACACTAACATCCCTGGTGTGCCGTCTCTTTTGGATGCTTGGAGTTCCTCATGATCCAGGTAGAATTTTGTCAACAACATCAAAGATAGGTATAATAGGTAGAACTCTTCAAGCAGATCATCCAAAAGCAAGTGAAATATTTTCTTTGCCAGAGAAAATGCCATACCGCATTCAGAGGCCTTCAGTGAAGACTTTGCAAAATAAGATAAAGAAGAGTGAAAAAGTATTGAAGAAATACCAAAGCTCCAGAAGGAAAGCTTTACATTCAAAACTTAAACCTTNCTTTACCCCTGAATAGTTTTTCTCTTTTGCCTGCATGCTTTTAGGTTAATTTTGTGTCTGTGTGATGCTGGATTTTTGTATTCATGTTTATTTGTTTAAACTGAATATTCTTGTGTGTGTGTGTTTTTCTTGTTTGTATTGTTGTTATTTGTGATCTCTTTCCCCTCGAATCTTTCTGCGCTTGATGTGACGACCTCGCTTTTCTTATTATTTCCCTGTATGACTTCCGTTTGTTGTTATTTGTGGTTATTATTTATATTTATTTTATTGATTATTCATTAGTATTTTCCAACTTTTCTCCTTATTTTTTTTCTTTGTGTCGCTCTCCCCTTCGTTCCTTCGGTGAGGAGGGTGGAGGGGGAGGGTGGGGGTGGGGGGGGTGGGGCACCTCGCGTCATCCGCAGCGAAGGATTAGATTATGGAGGGAGGATTGGGTTTGGTCTCTGCCCTCCGCCCTCGCCCTTTCTCTCCCCTCTCCTTCTCTCCTCTTTCCATCTTCTCCCTCTTCTTCTCTCTCACTTCTTCCTGCCCTCCCATTCCTTCTCCTTCTCCCTCTTTCTCTGGGTCTTATTTTGTTTCCTCTCACCCTTCCTTTTTTCCTCCTTTATTCCCCCTTTCCTTCTCCTGCTCCCTCTTTTCTCTGGCTGTCCGTTTTGTTTCCTCTCACCCTCTTCCTTCCTATTCTTCCATTCTTCGCTTCTTTTCTATCCTCCTCCTCCTCCTCCTACTGCTCCTACCTGCTCCCTAACTCCTCCCCCTCCTCCTCCTCCTCCTCCTCCTCCTCCTCCTCCTCCTCCTCCTCCTCCTGCTGCTCTATTTACTTCCTGTCTCATCGCCCCCCCCCCCGGTCTCGCGATGCCAGCCGGCGCCTCAACGATTGTCTGAATTACGGAGGAGGAGGAGGAGGAGGAGGGAGGGGGGAGGGGAAGAGACGGATAATGATACAAAAAAAAAAGAGTTTTATTTTCCTCTCTTCGTGCCTTGGAGTCGGGTATATGGGGGGTGCTAGTTGGGTGCATATTTGGGGGGTCTGTTGGTTTGCTTGTTTGTCTGTTTTCTGTTTATTTGTTGCTTGTTGTTTGTTTTCTTTTTTATGTTTGCTTGTTTTTGTTCTTGTTTGTTTGTTGTTGCTTGTTTGTTGTTTTCTTGTTTATTTTTATTTTTTTTTAGTTTTTTTTAAGCTCTGTCGCGTATTTTCGTTTCTTGAATTAGTTGTTAGTGTTGTTTGTATTAATTGTATCGTTAATTTAGCGTCATTATTCTTTATTAGTGATGCTGTTGATGCTTATTGTTAATTTTGTCATTATAGCTACGTACGATTATTGTCATGGCTATTGTCATTATTATTATTTTAGTTGTTAATGTTGTTAATAATTATTACTTTTGTAATTATTAGCATATAAAGTTATTTTTATCATATTTGTTTATAAGTTTTGTTGTCAGTGTTGTGATAATGATTATTGTTGTTATTATTGAATCAGAATGACTTTCTCTACTGCGGATATTGGCTATTTATCTCCATTCAATTGTTTTTAGTTTCAGGGGGATTTTCACAGTAAAGGGATTTTCATTCTTTCGATGCGGTCGGGGAACCCTTGTTTTATTGCCAGGATTAGGCTCAGTGAGGGGAGGCCGAGGGAGGGGGGGAGGGGAGGGGGCAGGGGGGGAGGCCAAGGGGGGGAGACCAGGGGAGGGGGCACGGTCTGGGGGGGCCAAGGGAGGATCAAGGAGGGGAGGCCAGGGGAGGGGAGGCCAGGGGAGGGGGGGAGGGAGGGGAAGGGGAGGGAGGTAGTGGAGGGAGGCCAAGTAGGGGGGAGGGAGGGGCAAGGGAGAGGGGGGCAGGGGAGGGGAAGGCAAGGAGGGGGCACGGGTGGGGAGGCCTGGAAGGGGGGAGGGGAAGGGGCCAGGGGAGGGGAGGGGGGCAGAGGAGGGGAGGCCAGGGGAGGGAGGCCAAGGGAGGGAGGAGGCCTTTTATTAAAGTACTGTGAATGGGATAAAATGTTTTGGTTTGTTTACTTTTCGGTTTTCGAGTTGGGAATTCGGGATTATTGGCCCGGTGTTTGCTTCCGCATTTCCGGGCTCCTTCCTCACTCCCTCCTTCCTCTCCCCCCACTTCCTCTTTCGGTTATGTCTCTCTTCTTCCTCTTAGTGTTTTTTTTCCCTCTTCGTCTTTATTTTTCCTCTTTTTCCTTCTTTTTTCATCTCTATACACAGTCCCTACTCTTCCTGTTACCTCCTTCCTTCCTTTCCCTTTCCTCTCCTCTCCTACTCCTCTTTCCCTTTCCCTCTCCCCGTCCCCTTCTCTTTCCATCGTCCTTTCCCTTTCCCTTTCCCCCCCTCCCTTTCCTTTCCTTTTCGCTTTTCCTTCCCTTCCCCTTCCTCCCCATCCCCTTTCCTCCCCTTCCCCTCCCCCCCACTCGCAAGCAGATCCCTTTCCCTCTCTCCGTCCCCTTTCTCTTTCCATCGTCCTTTCCCTTTCCCTTCCCCTTCCCCCCCCTTCCCTTCCCCTCCTTTCTCCCCATCCCCTTCCCCTTCCCCTCCCCCCCCCCCCCCTCGCAAGCAGATGTCGACGATGGACCGTTTTCGAGTTTTATTTTGAGCGTCAGCCGTTGCGTGTAATCTGCGGTTATTGTTGCCGATGGCTGACATATGCGGCGGCGGCGGCGGCCGGCGGCGGGGGGGAAGGCGGCGGCGGGGCGAAGGCGGCGGCGGGGGAAGGCCGCAGTGCTTCACGCTCACTTAAACGAGGCTGCTTAATTGCCGTCGGGGTGATCGGGCGCCCTTGATGCGATGGGCTTTTCCTTCTTTTTTCTTTTTGGGGATTTGTGTGTGGCGGGTTGGGGGTGTGTGTGTGTGCGTGCTGTGATGGATCTTCGTTTGTGTGCTGATGTGTAGCCGCAGGCGACGTTGTTCGTCGTGTGTGTGCGTCGTAGGCGCGGGGCCGTTGTTCTGTGATGTGTGTGCGTTCGTGGACGCAGCGGGTATGTTTGTGCTGTGTGTGCTTGCGTGTGGCGGGGTTGTTTGTGTGTGTGTGCTGATGGGCAGGGTTGTTTGTGTGTGTGTGGGTTGTTGTGGGGGTTGTTTGTGCTGTGTGCTGCGGTGTTGCTCGTGCCGAGGGGGTGTGCTTTGCTGTGTGTGTGCAGTGTGGCGACGGGTCTGTTTTTGCTGTGCTGTGATGTGCGTGTTTAGGGGAAAGTTGTTTTTGATGCTGTGTGCGCTAGTTGGGGGGGCTGTTTGCTTAGCTGTGTGTTGCCGTGTACTGCTGGGGGCCGGCTTGTTTGTGCTGCTGTCGTGTGCGTAATGGGCGGGGTTAGTTTGTGTGTGAATGTGCGTCGTGGGGGGCGTTGTTTGTGTGTGTGTGTGGCGTGTAGGGGGCTGTATGTTTTGTGTGTGGTGTGCTGGTGGGGGGTTGTTTGCTACAGTGTGTGTGTGCGTGTGGGGGGTTGTTTGTGTGTGTGTGCGTGTTGGGGGGGTTGTTTGTGAACTGTGTGTGCGTTGCGTGGGGGGGTTGTTGTGTTGTGTGTGTGGGCGTGTCGGGCGGGGTTGTTTGTGTGTGTGTGGGGTGTGGGGAGCTTGTTGTGTGTTGGGGGTGGGGGTTGTTTGTGTGTGTGTGCGTGTGGGGGGGTTTTGTGTGTGTGTTGTGTGGGGGTTGTTTGTGTGTGTGTGTGTTTGTGTGTGGTGTGGTGCGTGTGGTGTGTGCGTGTGTTGTGTGTGTGTGTGTGTGTGCGCTGTGGGGGTGTGTGTGTGTGTGCGTGTGGGGGGTTGTTTGTGTGTGTGTGGGTGTGGGGGGGTGTTTGTGTGTGTGTGTGCGTGTGGGGGGTGTTGTTTGGTGTGTGGGTGTGGGGGGTTGTTTTGTGTGTGTGTGGTCGGTGGGGGGGGTGTTTGTGTGTGTGTGTGGTGTGGGGGGGTGTTTGTGTGTGGCTGTGTGTGTGGAGCGGGGTTGCTTGTGTGTGTGTGGGGGGGTTGTTTGTGTGTGTGTGCGTGTGGGGGGGTTGTTGTGTGTGTGTGTGCGTGTGTGGGGGGGTTGTGTGTGTGTGTGGTGTGGGGGGTTGTTTGTGTGTGTGTGCGTTGTGAGGTGGTGTTTGTTGTGTGTGTGTGCGTTGTGGGGGGGTTGTTTGTGATGTGTGTGGGTGTGGAGGGGCGTTACTGTTTGTGTGCTGTTGTGCTGCGTGTGGGGGGGTTGTTTGTGTGTTAGTGCGTGTGGGGGGGTTAGTTTGTGTGATGTGTGTAGCCGTTGGGGGGTTGGTTTGTGTGTTGTGTGGGTTGTGGGGGGTTGTTTGTGTGTGGTGTGCGTGTGGGGGGCGTTGTTTGTGTACATAAACTGGCTATGTGTGGTGTGGGGAGGTTGTTTGTGTGTGTGGTGTTGCGGATGCCTGTGGTCAGCGGGGTTTAGTTGTTTGAAATGTAGTTGGTTGTTGGGGCAGCCGTGTTTGTATGTAGTGTGTGTGCATGCTCGGCGGCGGAGTTGTTTGTGCTGTGTAAGTCGTGCCGTGTGGGGCGTGTTCTGTGTGTGATTGCGTACCAGCAAGCGTAGGCGGGGGATTGATATCCCATGTGTGTGTGTGTGCGTGTGGGGCGTTGTTGTGTCGTGTGTGGCGTGTGGGGGTGTTCGTTTGATGTTGTGTGGTGCGTGTGGGGAGTTTGTCTGTTTGTGTGTGTTGGGTGTGGGGGCGTTGTTCTGTGTGTGTGTGTGCGTGTGGGGTTGTTTGATGTGTGTCGTGGCGTGTGGGGTGTGTGTGCTCATTGTCTTCGTGTCCCAAAACGCTATGCGTGTGCGCGGGTTGTTTGGTGTGTGGAGGGGGGGGCTGTTTATGTGTGTGTGTGTGCGTGTTGGAGGGCGTCTGTTATGTGAATGTGCTGTCTGTGTGGGGGGGCGTTGTTATAGTGCTTGTGTTGGGTGTGGGGGGTTTGTGTGTGCTGTGTGCGTGTGGGGGGGTTGTGACAAATGTGTGTGGGTGTGCGGGGGGGTTTGGTGTGTGTTGTGGTCACATGTGGGGAGTTGTGTCGTCGCTTGTA